CTCTAGGACGTAACGGTAACGGGTGTTTGCATTGGTCGGGTCTTTTCTGCCCGTGCGTGCCCGCTGGGGGGCGCGCGCGAGCAGAAAAAAAATGCCGTCTGGCGACGGCAACCCGCCAATGCTGCAGTGCCGTCCGTCCGTTTTTTTACAACGGGCGGACGGCAAGTGGTTAATAAAAGAAACGGTGCAGGAAAAAATATACAGAAAAAGATGTTAACAAAGAGAGACAGAGATAACAACCGTACAAATAAAAAGGAATAAAAATAGACTGCTTAACAGTCCTATGCTTATAAGTTTTGAGTCCAGTTCAATGTGCAGGAGATGGATCTGAATGGCTCTTTTTCCAAGTAAGGATTGCAAAGATTCTTTCTGGAAGTTAAAGGGGAACTCTTCTTGGATGTTACACAAGCTTCTCCTCTGATGCATCCTCTTGATGTTAAAATGAGAGCCTCCTTAGGTGACACGGAGCCAGCCTATAAGGAAGTGTTGGGGAGGGTGAGCAGGAGGGCTAAGCCTTTACGATGTCCTTCTCTACTCTTCATAAACTGTCAAATTCATAGCTATCCAAATAGTGTAATATTCTTCCATATTACTGTCTGATAACCCCTAAAATATTTAGTGTCATGAAATTAACTTTAGATTGAATCCAAATTTGACATTGGTGTGAACTATGGCTGGCCCTGCAAGATAAATGTGGCTTGTCAGACCTCTGACCATTGTAACCCACCCATGATTGATATGTGTGTTTTCTCTTGACAAGACACAGCTATTTATGCAATAAATTTTACAATATCACTCTGCGATTGAGAGTTATGATTTTTAGAATTTGGCGGTAACTTCAGTTTATGGCTCTGGGTGAATCTGAGGTTACCTGGGTCATTATCCTTGCCAGAGCCTCTTGTGTTTACCTAGATATGTCAGATGTTAATTTATTGGGAATCTGCAATTATGCTTGGTTAACTTTCATTAGGGTTGGTCATAAAAAGGTTGTGGGGTAATCATGGTACCTCACTTAGGTTATTTGTGCTAAGGAATATAAAGATCACAGGCCCGGATTAGCATATATCTGTTTGTTCAAATTTGAGGATGGCTAAACAAAACTAGGGGCAGCCTAAGGTCATTTGAACTAAATTGTAGCCTGCATTTTTGGAAGATGAGGGAAGAGATACTAAATATAATACTTTAAATTGATATGCGCAAACCTCATTACTGTCACACTCTGTGCCTCCACCCTTTCACTTCACCTCTTTTTGATTAGTTTATAGTCTGCCTGCCCTCTCTTTCCTTCATCAATATCTACTTTTTGCCTTTTCTCGCTTGTCTGCATACTCTATAAGGTTATCTTGTGCATCCTATATTCCTCTCTCTTCCTTTCTGACATCGTTGCCTCTCCAAAAATTCTATGATCAACTGTTGCTCATCTCTGCCACCCACCCTTCCCACAATCAGTTACATCTTTTCCCTTGAACCAGCCAAATCCACAATCAGTTGAAAAGCTTGCCCTGTTATCAGTTCTATTGAGATGGCACACATGGGCAAATAATATGTGCACAGCAAAATTATTGTTTGACTGGGCAGTACTACATATCAGTGTGTTATGAATCACTTACAAGTCAAAACATTTTTCAGTCCATATTAACCCATTCATTAACAGCCAAACATTTGCTAGGTTTTGTAAAAATATGGATATTGTAAAGCCTAGGTGATTAATTTTTACATCCTATCTAAAGAGAATATTTTGACTATATCCTAGACACACTCAGTAGATTAATTTCATATACTGATTAGTCTTGCTTCCAAGTCTCATAAATATTATTAAGAAGAAATCCTGTTAGTTGTTCAAGATCCTAAATGGAACATAAATACTCCATATGTTGATGTACATATTGCCTCAGCAGAAACGAATTCCCTTTTCTAATAATATTTTCCATTACTATACATATTTTTCAGAAACATCAAATGCTTTGCTGTTTGAAGAGGTGGTAACTTTGAGCAAGCAGCTGATTGAAAAGTATAGCGATTCCAGTTTCCATGATGTATCCCCATTTGGAGATTTGCTCTCCATAGATCTGAGGTCACTCTTTGCAGATATCTCTGTTGTATTGAAGGACATCCGAAATCATCCATTGACACAGCTCACATTACCAGACATCCTATCAGGGCTAGGGGACATCACTATGATAGAAGGAGAGGCTGGAAGTGGAAAGACGGCGCTGCTCAAGAAAATTGCTATTCTCTGGGCTTCAGGGAAATGTTCTATACTAAACAGGTTCAGCCTTGTGTTTTATATCTCTGCATCATGCTCATCAAATGAGAGACAGCAATCGCTGCATGACATCATCTGCCAGCAACTAATTGGATCCACTGCATCTCTCTCTGAAGACAGTCTGGGACAAGTTATAAAACAATTACAAAATAAAGTGTTGTTTCTCCTTGATGACTATGGCATGGCGGGCTCCATTCCTGAGGCAATAGAAGAACTTTTGCAGAAGAACCCTTGGAATAGAGTGGGTTTGGCAGTCACTGTGACCACAGACAAAGCATGGATGCTACGGCAGCATGCAAGTACCATTCTGAGCATCCAAAAGTTTCCCTTATATAGCACTATTTACTTACTGAAAAACCTCTTTTCACATGACGTTGAGCTTGTGAAGTCATTTGTAGTTGATCTAGAAACGTCTAAAAACCTAACTTCCATTTTGCAAACACCTCTTATGATTCTTGCTCAGTGTTCCACATGGATGAGACATCCTCGCAAAAATAAGTTTGATGATGTAAACCTTTTTAAAACATATTTAAGATACAGCATGCTAAAATATCCCTCTGAAACTGAAGTGGTAAAATCTCAGGTATCTTCATGTGGAAATCTTGCTCTCAAGGGCCTTTTTCAGTCAAAATTTCAGTTTTCCGACAATGACCTAAGAGCAGCAGGCGTCAGTGATGACACAGCCATTAAATATGGACTTTTGAGCAAATTCACAGCACAAAGGCTTCATCCGATATATACGTTTTTTGATCCCTCATTCCAGGAGTTTCTTGCTGGAAAGAGACTGAGTGAGCTGTTAGAGTCTGAGGACCAAAGGGATCATGACAAGGGTCTCTATTACCTTAAGCAGGTGAATACTTTACTCAAACTCATAGGGCCTTATAGCTATCTTCTAAAATATGCCAGCAGGATTTCTGTAAAAGCGACAATGAACATTATTTCTTGTTTATTCACCTTATATGACAACCCTGAGGCACTGGATTGCCATTTAGACAGTAGCGAACATCTACAACGACATCCAGAACTTGAAATTCAAGAACAAGTTTTCACTTTGACAATACAGGGAGTACTCGTTGAAGATACCAACTTGGTTTGCATGGATCGATTGATGACATTTGCTATAGAGGCAGCACTTGAAAGTCAATGTTTATCTGAATGTGCCCCACTAATCATGCAGTTTCTTGCTGGGAAAGCACTGTCTTTTTCTGTAAGTCATATCAACAGAGGATCTTCTAAGAGTATTCTAACTTTCATAGAAAATTATCCTGAATGTATTCGTTTGTTCAGCTTCGTCTCCTTTACCTTGTCTAGCACAGTAAAACAGCGCAAAATACCAGATTTTTCTTCAGTAGAACACAGTTATGAAAAATATGGAGTTCCAACAGTGGAAGATGATTACTCTTCAGCATTTCTTTCACTCACAAAGACATTGCAAGATAACCAAGAGAAAATAAACGATTCCAATCAATTTTTATCTCTTTTCCCTAAGGAAATAGAAATATGTGACTCAGTAATTCATCCTTTTATGTCATTAAAGGGACACAAAGCAGCTGTTTTCAAAGTGCAATTGAGTGGTATTAATAGTGAAAACTTTACACAACTTAACTGCAAGAAATTCCAGATTCTCTTCTCCATATCTGACCACATTGAACTCCAGCTGATAAACTGCAGAGATTTTGCAAAGCACATTGCCCCAGCAATCAAGCAGTTCTTAACATCATTTAGGAAACTGGTTATAAATGGCACATGTTTGAGTGCAGAGGAACAAGGTCTGATACTTAAGATGTCCTCTCTTGAATGTTTGGAGATTGAAAATTCTCAGGATACTTATTATCCAGGTAGGACAAAATATTGTTAAAAAATGAACTTTCTACTGCCATCTTGCTTTACTTTGTGGGTCCCTTAAAGTCATGTGAAGAAAAGGTTACTTTGCTCAATTTTATACTAAAGCTAGTCATATATTTTTTCTTGTCCAGCACATGGGCTGAATGAGAAAAAAACACTACATTCTCCCATTCATGCTAAACAACATAGATTTGAGAATCTTCCCTGATGTCTGCCAGGAGTGGGGCAGGATCTTTTGGATTTATAAGTGCCTAGGGAGGATTTACAAGGAAGGTTCTTTTTTTTATTAAATAGCCAGAAGTAGAGTTGCAGGTCAGTTGGTTGAGAAGACTACAGGTTGTAGACCCAGTTGGAAACTGCGGGCCCTCTCTGAAACCATGTGAGAATCCTGCTATTGCTTTCTCCCTAATGAAGCTGTGCCAGGATACCTGGAGGATTGAGAGTAGTAAGAGACGGACTTGAAATTTCCCATGTTGTGGGTAGTAGATCTGGACAATGCCAGCTAAAAATATAAGAGATGACACCTGGATCAACAGTAATATGCAACAGCAATATGCAAAGAGAATTGTTTGCTAAAAAGTTGCCAAATGAAGTAAACTGAATTCAAAAGACAAAGGGGGGAATTTATCAAAACTGGAGCAGACAGAATCTAGAGCAGTTGCCCATGGCAACCAATCAGCATCTCTCTTCAGTTTGCTCAGGTAAGAAGTGAAAATGACAGAGAGAAGCTGATTGGTTGCAGTGCAAATCTGCTCCAGATTTTGTCTGCTCCAGTTTTGATAAATTCCCCCCAAAGTCGGACTAAATCCATTTCATATTCCTGCGGATTTAATGGGTACGCCTATACCTGAAATGCAGAGACTTTGACTCTGTTTGGCCTTGCTAGAGAGGTCCCACCAACATGGTTGCAGTGAACGAATCCCCTAATAATAACATTCCTGTAAATGATCAGGTGACCATCAACTCAACTGTACACTTTATGGAACCTTCAGTTTATAAAGGAGCACTTTCTGAGCATGCCTTTACGTTTTAGACTTTAAAAAAGAGTTAAAATTAAAAGAAAAGAAAAATAATAAAATTTAAAAAAATGAAAGAGAAAAAAAACACGCATTAAGACATCATGAACACACACAAACACCTATACCCCATAAAATCTGTGCACATATACCAAATATATACATATTAGAGGTTATAATGCATATTTAGTGGCATTGGTTTAGTTTAATGACAAATAGTAAAAGTACGTAAGTGTTGGATCCTTTTGGTAAATTGATATATTTAGAATTTTGTGTAATCTTATGTTTCTGTTCTAACACATCTGTCTAATATCTATGATATTATAAATGTAGAAGTAGTAGTTATTATCTATTAGTAGTACACAGTTCCATCTGACATTAAATGTCATATATTACTGCTTATGTGTTAGAAACATGTATGTAGAATTGTTTATTAAACATATACAGTACATGTGACAAATATTTGTAACAGTGGAGGTTCATGTATATTTTGTACTGTTTATTTTATTGATACATATTAACAATTTAAGTGGCATATAGAAGATAATTTCTATCAACTGGTGATTAGTTCAGTTTAGATATGTGTACTGTTCTCCTGTTCTAAACACAGTTCATATACAGTATACCTTTTGTGAAGAAGAAGGAGAATATTATGACTACCATTCATTATCAGAATGTTGTTTTCTTTAACCCTTACCTATGTTTTAGACCTGCTGATCCGTGGCATTCACAACTTCCCTTGCTTGAATGAGTTGTCTATCACACTGCCTAACAATCCAGAGGTGATAGACCATCTGCCAGATGAATTTACAAGATTCAGCAAAATGAGAAAAATTGTGCTTGTTTTGCCCAATTGTGGAACTGAATCAGCAAGATTTGGTAAGAGGCCAGATAACCTAATGTTATCTTTTATGTGGGCAGTATGTTTTTAAGATGAACTAAAATAAACATGGGGGATACCATTGCTGTACATAGTTCCCGAAGATGTTTGGTAGAGACTATAAGAACTAAAGACAAAAAGGGGTGTCCTACTGCTACACAAGTACATGCCAGGGCTATATCAATATGAAGATTATGTTGAAGGTACTGTATACAGGGCCGACTTTTTCTGCAGCCCTGTTATGAAAGAACAGGAAGACTCTATAGTGAGCTGCTCCAGTCCATTCATAAACTGTGGAGATAGTATCCGTTACTATGTCCACAATCATGAATGAACAGGAGCACTTCCTGCTCATTCATAACTCAGGACACAGTAAGCATACAGTACTTTGTTCTCAGTTATTTACAAACACTCAGCGATCATCGTTCTGATCGTTCAATGCTTGTAACCCACTCTCCATCCTGACTCCCACGCCTGTCACAGAATGCCGAGTGGGGCGGTGCAGGAGGAGAGCTCAGCCTCCTGTGACAGCTGTCTCCTCCCCGCACCACCCTGACAGCTTCTCTCCTCCCGCTGGGCGCCGGTCAGTGCCCCCTCTGATCCCCGCTGCCTCTGCCAACACAGAATTGCGGGGATTAGAGGTGACAGACCGGCAACCAGCAGGGAGGAGAGAAGGTAGGGATACACTGCATTTTCAGGCATTTTTGTACTATCGGCATTTTGCTCATAGTGTCAGGGATACCGGCACAGGTGACCCCACACAGGCAGACCAAACACGTACGACCACACCGGACAGGGCAGAATGTATTATATACAGTTTATTAACAGCAACACTAAACACAACACCCAAAAGCAAACAAAAATAAGTAACGTCAACAAGACTACAAGCAGGTAATGGCAACATGAGGAGAAGCAGGTAATGGCAACAGGAGGTATCTAGGACTGCAAATGGGTAATCGGGCTCGGGACACAAACAGGGTTCAGGACTGCAAACAAGATTCAGGGTTCAGGACTGGTAACAGGACTCAGGACGGAAAGCAGGTTTCACCGGAAATTGCGACAGAACTGGGGACTCTGGGTTCAATACTGAGCCATCTTCCTGACTGTAGGGAGGGTTTAAATACCCTCCCAGGAAGCACCAGGTGATGGCTAAGTGCTGAGAGACTGGAAGACACCCGCAGGTGAGTACTGGAGCTGCAGGTTACAGCGCCACCCAGTGGTGGTCTGGTATCTAACAGTTCCTGGCTGCCTGGAGACACCTGCAGGTGAGCACAGGAACTGCAGGGCTTAGCTCCAGCGCCACCTGGAGGCACTCTGGATCCTAACACATAGTACCATTTTCAGCCGAAATATTTCGGTGCCTTCCCTTGCCCTGCTGTCTTGTAAAGGCAACAGCATGGAGAGAAGAGTGCACAGTTACAGAGCCAGCTGCTGCTAGCTTCTGCATGTAAATGAGGGGTGCTTCTTTTTCATATAATTATTAAAATAATAATTGCTGACATAATGTTATACTGCTTTTTTCTAGCAGACCCACATGAACTATTTACTACAATGCACATAGCATTCCATTGCATATTTTCCTAAAACTAGTTCTGTAAAGATTAGGGATGCACCGATATCACTTTTTTGGGTCTGAGTACGAGTACCGATACTTTTTTTTTAGTACTCGCCGATACCAATTACCGATACTTTTTCTTAAAGGGGCAGATATAACTTTTTTTTTATGCCATCCTGTGCCCAGCCCACACCTGTAGTGTGGCATATGACAACTCTGTAAAAATAATGTTTTAAGTAGTTGCTGTGACAAGCCTTTTCTTTGCTTTAGTTTTTATAAATTAGCCAACAATTGAAAACCAAACTAAAGATAGTTACATAGTTAGTCAGGTTGAAAAAAGACACATGTCCATCAAGTTCAACCTATACTGAGATAGTAGATCAAAACATATTTCTGGTTGTGTCAGTACAGTACTGAATGCGTCTCTGCAGGCGTGCTTCAGGTTGTGTCACTATGTTACTGATTGCATCTCTTTGGACACATACCTTGTTATGTTAGTACAGTTCTGGTTGTGTCCATGAGGACACATTACTGGTTGTGTTAGTAGACAGTGATTGTGTCTCTGCACATACGAATGTGTTTAAAAGAGAAGTAAAGATAAACTTTTTTGCCCTTAGTGCAGAGCCACGCTGCAGCAAGGAAGGATCCCAACAATATTCTTGGGATCCACTTGGCTGCCTGATTGACAGCTTGCTCTGCCTCTGTAATGCCAGAGCAATGAGCACTGGAGGAACAGAGAAGGGAGGGGAGAATCCCTGGGTGGAATGATGACTGACAGTTACCACTCTCTGCAGGGAAAAGACTGGGAGCTGAGGGACCAGTGGTCACACGATCACTCAGCTCTTAAAGTGACATTAAACCCTCAGATTTTTTAACATAAACCAATAGTGTAATGTGTGCCTTACTGTAATCCATGGTGGTTTCCCTTCTCTTCGCTGCTCTTCCTTTTAAATCCTTATCTCTTCTCATGCTGGGAACTTCCCTTTGCAGCTGAGTGCCTCTTCTTGTAGTGCTAGCTCAGGTTGTGAACCTACACACAGACACCATGTATCCATTCTAGAGACAAGGCAGTCTGCTGCAAAACAGAAGTTCTGCCCAGCATGAGAAGAGATACGGTTTTAAAAGGAAGAGCAGCAAAGAGAAGGGAAACTACTATGGAGTACAGTAAGGCACACATTACAGTATTGGTTTATGTTAAAAAATCTGAGGGTTTAATGTCACTTTAATATAGAGTTGAGTATGCGCCAACTGCAGTGTCCCACATCAGCCTTAAGTATTGGGAAAAGTATATTTTACTCTCTTTAATACTTCTTTAATTATTCCATTATTTGCACAATTCTCTTTTTAATACAGCTAAGAAATATTTATTCCACTATGTGTATGTTTTTTTTTTCTTTATGTGCATGTTGGGAGGGCATTGTGGAACAGGGTGGCACAAAGTAACTAGCCTAGGGAAGAAAGCCATATAAATCTGGCATTAACCATATATACTAAATGGTTCCTGTTTTGCAGCCAAATTCATGCGTAGTTTTGAAGATTTGGAGATTCTGCACCTCACTTTCAAGAATGTTTTGGAATATAATGGCCTGATAGATTCAGTTACAACTTGCAAGAAGCTAAAAGAATTGAATCTGTGTGGGTCAGTACTACAGGACAGTGACATGTCTTTGCTGGGTAATTATAACAACCTCATCCGCTATTATATGTAATTATACACTGAGTGGCCAGATTATTATGACCACCCCATCAGTACTTCGTTGGGCCACGAGATGACTTCATTGGGCCGCCTCGTGACTCCACGAGATGTTGAAAGGTGATGCAAGGAATCTGACACTGCACTGTTGCCCTTCTGTTGTCTTGTACCAGTCTTGCCACTCTCCGTTCTGCCCTAACATTGACTAGTCGCTGACGGCCACAATTCGCACGTTCAGACCCAGATTTTCGGCTGACAGTCCAGTCTTTAAACACTTTAACAACAGCTGCTCTTGAACATTTAACGAATTGTGCTGTTTTGCTGATACTCGCTCCATGGCTCCGAGCGCCAATAATCATCCCACGTTCAAAGGCTGTTAAATCGCGTTGTTTACCCATATCTTCATTAAAAAAATCACTTCTACTGTCGTGGTAAACAACCTGCTTCCCTATTTATAATGGTCTGGCCCTCTAGCAACTTCAGCGCGAAACTATAGCTAATTATAGCTAATTTGCCTACAAACGTCAGGTGGTCATAATAATCTGGCCACTCAGTGTATGTGGTCTATTCTACATTTCAGTTTACATTTTTACAGCTTTTTCCCTCCTGTACAATATGAGAGGTACAGTGCTGGTGAGAGCTACAGAGAAAAATTATTTGAGGGTGCTTATTTCAGATGATTGCAGAATGAGCAAAAAGTGTAGTCGGACAGTGGGGAAATCAAATAGAATTCCGGGTTTACTAGCAGGAGGAAAGAGATCTTGATTCCCCTCTATAGATCTTTAGTTACACCTCATTTACATCAGTGTGTCATGGAGACCTGACTTACAAAGAGATTTTGATAAGATAGACAGAGAACAGAGATGAACAACAGAAATGGTAAAGGTCTAAAGCAGTGGTTCTCAACCTGTGTAACCTCAGGACCTACATTTATCCTTCATCATTAAGTCGCGACCCAAGTCGCACTGCAATGGAATGCACAGCATTGCAGTACTGGACGTTCGGGTGCAGACGATCGAACTGTGGGCAGGAGGTGCGTTTAGGGTGTCATTCAAAATAGTGGCAATGCAACCCACCGTCCACAACAGAACGTGCAGTAGGTGCGATTGTGTGGTACAGTGCATTAATCGCATAGGACTGTGCGAATAATGCACTGTACTAGTGTGAACGTGCCCTCAAAAACGCTGACAGACACACTCACAACCACAGACACAATCTCACACACTTAGACATTCTCATACACACATACACAATCCCAAAAACTTTTTTTTTTTAAGATCCACCTAGTCTTCCTACCTTATAACTTATAGAACTGGAGTGAATCCTCAGCTTGGAGTCCAGTGTGGGCTGCTGTACTGTAATGGAGCTCCATCCATATGTGCATTGTTTATACAGCTGCCTTGCATGCCCTATAGAGGTGCCAGGAGCAAGATTGTGACATCAGTCTAGTCCAGGCACCTCTACGGGGCACATGTGGGAGCTGTAAGCAATGCACTTGTAGATGGAGCACCTTTATGGCCATACCCCACCTCAAGCTGACATGCAGGGCCGGGTAGCATATTTTGAATGGGTGCTTGGTGCGAGAACTAATGGTGCTGCGATAGGGGGAGGCTAAGGAGTCTCTCACCTGGAAAAGTGGAAGGCATGTGGCGACGCACTGAAACATCGGATCGCAACCCACTTTTGGGTCACGACCCACCAGTTGAGAACCAGGGGTCTAAAGGATATGCGTGAAAAATAAAGTACACCCTCTTTGAATTCTATGGTTTTAAGTATCAGGACATAATACAAATCATCTAGATTTTAATTAGGATGTAGCCTCTATACCCATCCATCACTAACCTGGACCCCATTAGTTTCACCTGTGTTAATAATCTTTTTGTTTTTGCAACTCATGTCTAGCAGCACTTACTAAACAGGTGATATGTTTGTGTTTTGATATAGTTCTTATATATTATGAATACATTTAAGCAGTAAAGTTAGAAGGCACATATGCTCTAGTAAATCTAATTCAGCATGGTGTGTTTCTTTGCATTGCCCTTGGGACAAACTGGTGTTTACACTGTACTAATTGTTTCTGTTGTTTGCAGCCTCAGCAATGAAACATTTTACATCTTTGCAAGTTTTAAATTTGGACGGACAAAAAATATTTGAAAAAGAGACTGCTGATTCATTTGGTAAATGTTATTACAGTTTATGGTAATCTATTATTATCAGCCACTATCTGAACATTATTACATTACCTGTTCCGTGCCCTACCTTCTACTCACCACATCATGTTTTTGCACAGACAAAGATATGATAGTTTTCTTAAATAAAAGTGTTATGTATACAGCGAACTCTTGCAATCACCAGCATCCAGCCATATGCTCCCAAACAGAGTTAGACTGGCATGTACCTCTGGTGCACATTGTTCCTCTCTTACTTATGACTGCCTGCTTCGGCCTCACAACAACCCTAACTGGATTCACAACCATCAACACATCCACCAGACTCATAATTACTTATAGTTACTCAGTACTCTTAACTACCTGGCTTTTCTCATGGCCAATTATACCAGCTGAACACTAATACATCCTCCTCCCAAGTCATAACCTCATTCCTTGCTTATTTACCCACACAACATAATTTTTTTTTATCAGCACCCATAACCCATTCAGGCCTCTTGGAGCTAATGAGTACCCGCACCACCTCACTGATAACTAATAATCCACACAACCCCCTGGCACTGACAAGCATGTGTATCCTTCACAACCCCCTTAACTGGGACAGGCATCTCCAGCCCGTGGTGCTCTAACGCTGCATTCATGACTGCTGCTAAGTATCTGCAATCCACCCAGTCTCCCATAGGACATGACCCTGGATTGACATACTACACCCATCAGTGACCAAATACTACCTGAAAAATGACAACACTCAACAACTACTGTACCACCCCCCAACTGATCAACAGTCAGTACAAAGTGAACACTGACACGGGTTTTAGTTTTACATATGATAACCCTGCGAGGATGACACATTTTAACATACTATATTCTAAAATAGTGACACGTGTTAAATTTTGAAGCACGCAGTCACATAGCTACAAAAGACCCTGGTGCTTACTTTGGATTGGGCCTCCTTCCCTAGTGGTACCCCTTTCCTGCAGCAGGCACTTCACCACCACCTTACTACTTTGCTACATAGTATTATGCAGAGCATATCAAGCAAGATCCTTCACTGCAGAGCTGCCCAGGGAATCTCAAAGTGCAGTGATGCATCCCTAAGGTGTAATAAGTGACGTCCTCCACAGTATCTACTTGTGCAGTGTCCTGGTATAATGGTATGCTTGCAAAGAGCAGTTTTTTTTAATGACACTGCCATGTTTAAACACAGAGATCAGGGAATTTCATATTACTTCCACTATGTAAGGAAGAGGCATACTTACACTAGTTCCCAATAAGGACACTTACACTAAACCTAAATCTTTGAATATCAGTGCAGTCTCAGTGATGTGAATAACGTTGAAAGAGAGGAATGTAGACAGAGCGATTCATTAGGGTATAGGTTCATGAAAATGTTTACATTCAATTTAAGTTCTGTCTTTCCTTGTAAAAGCTGATCACCACTGAAAACTGAAAAATCAGGTTTGGGTAGCTATATTTAGTGGTTTTGCTATTTGCTCTAGAACTGTGTCATATTGTCTTTTAAAGTAAATCTTGCCTAAGAGAAAAAATGGGGGCTGCCATTGCTGACCTCTTTCCAAAATGCTTGCTGCCTGGCTGGTATACAGATCCACTTCTGACTCACTGACCTAGTCCAAGTGTACATACAGTATAAGGGAAGTTAGAGTCAGTTCTTATCTGCACACTTGTTCTGGGTTAGTTCCACAAAGTATTGACACCCAACAATTAGTATCAATCCTGGCAACAAGCATTTGCAGAATGAGAATCAAGCAATGGCAACCTTCGTGTCTCTCTAAGAATGGTTTTCTTTAAGTCACTTAATCACAAATATTTTAAACTCACAAGACCACATGTAACTGATATAGTATGGTTAGAAATACTGTGAGATATAAAATAAATACAATCAATAAACCAGGATTTCCTCATAGCTGTGTCATTGGGCTCCCTTGTTTATCTGGAGAAGCTGTATTTGCCAAAGGGTGAAGGAATGACTCTTGCTGCTACCCACATCATTGAACAGTTCCAGAACCTTTGTAAAATCCAGTTTCTTGCCATGAAGGAGATTCTAGATGATGAATCTATTGCACTTTTAGGTGAGTACTTCATGAATGTGAAGCTAGCATCTTCAGGATTGGCCTTCTGTTGCCCTCTTTCATCTTTTTTAAAGAGAACCTGTCAATTCTTTAAAGATTTAAAAATGACACACCCTGCAGTGTAATACAAAGAATACTCACCACTCTGGTGGTCCATTTCTTCTACCTTTCCTCTGTTCTGGCCCTGCAGCCTAGGAAGACTTCGTCGATATTGACACTTCCTGGAGCACACAGGCAACCAACATACCCTAGAGGAGTTGAATAACCAGAAGAGGCTTTGTGTGACTGCAGTGCTGGAACAGAGAGAAGGTGGGAGACATGGACCACCAGACTTCTTCTCCTGCAGGGCTGTGTCAATTTTAAATATTTAGATACTTGGCAGGATTTGCTTTAAAGTCTTTAGCCAGTTTTTAAAGTGAGATCCTTCTTTGTGTGTTTGTGACTCCTCCTTTATTGATGCAGGCATACCCTTTCTCTGAGGAAACATATGAACTTTCTGGTTCTTAAATCATTGTTAGGGGAAAATGATAAAATACAGTCATTCTCTAGAGGATTTGTGGTTAACAAACCTCACAAAATGTTATCGAAATCTATCCACTGTATATTCATGTACCAGTCAAATAATGTCTAAGTGAAAAAAATAAATATTTGAAACCACTTTAGCTGAAATACTTATATAGTCTACAGTAGACTATTTACAGTAAAACTACTTTTTAAAAAGAAACCTAACACTGGTCACAGTAGAAAAACGTTTTTAATACATATTTTTGTCTATAGAAAAAAAATGAAATGCAATATTGCCACAAATATATACAAATAAATGCTTATTTGTGTATATATACAAATAAGTATGAAAATGTGGGTCATATCAAAATACTTTAAAGTGACCCTTGCTTTTCTTTTTGCTTTTCTGTCTAACAGAACTTGAGCATGTTGTAAGGTCTCTCCTTTTTTTTCTCATGTTACAGTGCTGGTGCTTGATGATTGGCCTCTCAGGTCCCAGTACTGTGGAGGGAGGTGTCCATAGCCCTATATAAGCTCAAACTCGGGTCTACTCAGAGTTTTCTCTCCTCATTCCTAATTGCAAATAGAGCAATGGGAGAATCAAGGGAAACAGATTCTGCTGTTTTTAACATGAACGTGTTGGTTTGCCCTGCAGAGGCAAAAAACAGGATCACATTAAGCTTAAAAACCTGGAAATGAATGAGGTGAATGATGTCCTGTATATTACTGATTTGAAGGACTTAGTAAATAGTGAGTGTTAGCTAACCTAAGAACAACGTCTGTAGTACCAAAAAAGTTGGCTGTATTTAGGCAAATCTCTGCAATTACTTTTCAGTAAATTCTGTTAAGTGCAGTTATATATAGTTTAAGAAAAGAAATGTCTTTAGATCTTTATAGGTTCTCAATTAATAGGATGCTAACATTTTTTCTATGAATATATTAATATCTTTCTAGCTGATATTACAAGAAACAGCTATCTGAAAAAGCTTCAACAACTTGAACTTCAAGTCAACGCCAACATCACTGAATCTGGGTGGAGAACGTTTTTTGAGAGATCAGGGCACATGCCAGAGCTCAGTCACCTGAATATAAGTCGCATGTACATGCAGCAAATCAAGTCCCACGCCACCACTGTCACGTCCTTTGTTCGATTTGTGTCCAGGCTACCACGCCTGGTGACCATACTCATGTATGGCTGGCTGCTTGATAAAGAAGATTTAAATATGTTTAACACCATGAAAGAGAGTCACCCTCAAGCTAAAAGTTTAAACATTGCGTGGCAGTGGTTTTTGCCATTTTCACCTACCATTGAGGATTAGAAAACTTTGCAATGCTTAAAGGCATAGAAAGTAAACCCACTAAAGATTTGGATAATTTAAATCATGGAAATTATAAAAACATGCAGCATATTCAGACATTACCTTCCATGATACATTCATTATAGAATAATCAGTAGATCCTGAAGTTAAATGCAAACCTGGACTTTCTTGTAAGGGCCTATTCACCTGGATTTAGCTAAGAAATAGGTAAGAGCCTTCCATTGGATAATTACTGCAGTGATTGATTTGTTTCATCTGGCAACAAGTTATTTAACCCTAACTGATGCAGTGAGTAGCTTCTTATTTCTTAAACAACCATGTCAGAAGACATAGCATGTGGTTGTGGAAAAGATGTAACTCTGTTTCAGATTGGCCAAGTAATTGGCTTGCATCAAACAAATCAGGAGATTGCTAAAACTACTAAAATTGGGTTCAGAACTGTCCAACGCATTATTAAAACTTGGAAGGATAGTGGTGAATCATCCTCTTCGAGGAAGAAATGTGGTCGGAAAAAAATCTTGAATGATTGTGATCAGAGATCACTTAAACATTTGATGAAATCAAAAGGCTTCAATTTGCTAGAGAGCATAAAGAGTGGACTCTGGAGCAACAAAAAAAGGTCATGTGGTCTGATGGATCCAGATTTACCCTGTTGCAGAGTGATGGGCACATCAGGGTAAGAAGAGATTCAGATAAAATGATGCACTGATCATGCTTAGTGCCTACCGTACACAGGCCCGGCGCTACCGCAAGGCCTGAGGGCGCTGCAGGGTGAGGGCGGAAAAAACAGGGCATTTTGATAAGTACTTGTACTTGCCAAAGTGCCCCGATGCTTGCGCTATGCTTTTTTTTCCCCACTTACCTTCGGTGCGGGAGAGCAGCGGCAAGTCAGCGCTGGTCCGGTGGGAGGAGCTACAGGTGGGGTCCTAATTTAGCTGGCCGGTGACTGCCAGAGGATCCCGACACGCGCGGCACCTCTGGCAGTCGCCGGCCAGCTAAATTAGGACCCCACCTGGAGCTCCTCCCACCGGACCAGCGCTGACTCGCCGCTGCTCTCCCGCACCGAAGGTAAGTGAAAAAGAACAAAAACATAGCGCAAGCATTTTTGCCCCAAAACCAATAACAAAATATAGATTTCCCATCATTTTCTGTTACAAGGACCAATAGTATAGGTAAATCTACCCAGTGGGAGATTATATCAAACAGATGCACCGCGCTAATCACTAATCATAATGCGTGAATAATAAAGTGCTAGATATCAAATAAATCACATATAACCAATATAGTTAATAAGTACTCATAAATAATAAAACATGTCTCTTATTGTAATATCTCCAGTAGAGATTATGGGGTCTATTCACGAAGCTGCCGAGGGATCTGGCCGTAGCTTCGGCCGATCCTTCGGCTAGCTTCGGCCCCAGGACCCCTTCGGTTCAGTAGAACCGAGGGGGTGCTGTACGGGCTATTCGCAATAGCCCGTACAGCTCCCGATCATGGCCGAGCGGCTCAGTCGAGGCTGAGCCGTGCAGAAAGCCGAAGCTGGCCGAGCGGCCGGCCATTGGCCGGCCGACAGCCTGCTTCTGGCAGCTGTGCGGAGCTAGCCGTGAACTTACGGCTGGCTCCGGCCACTTTCAGAGAGATCAGCGTCCCTGGTTGCTAACCAGGGACACTGATCTCTAAACAGCTAACTCTCCCTGGCGCCCCGGGAGCCTCCTGCTCCCGGCCGCAAAGGAGAGAAAAAATGCTGTGTCTTTTTTTTTAATTCTGACACGAGCGATGTCAGAATAGAAAAAAAAATGTCTCCCATTAAAAAGCATTGGGACATTACTATTGGCTATTTCAATTTGCAATAGCCAATAGTAAACTAGCATTGTACCCGCCCTCTGCAGTTCCCCATCAGGTCCATCAGCAGAGGGCGGGTACAATGCTAGTGTACTATTGGCTGTTGCAAATTGAATCGAACCCAGGCAGATTTCCTCATTCCTAGTTCATTTGAATGTGACTAACTACTATCAATACACTCAAGGCCAAAAGTTATGTAAGAGAGGCAATATTACAATATACACTATAGCTATATGTACCCACTGGTCACCAAACTTATTTTTCTTTATAATTCCTCAGAGATTCCTACTCAGGACCATCTTAATGCTTACATCAAGCCCTTCCTGGGTCTCCTTCTAGATTCCCCCTATTAGCCAAAATATGAGCCCTTTTTATATAGTAGTTATAGTCCAAAACTTCCAAGTATAAATAACCTTCCCCACCAAAGCAAGTAACTCACTGTTTATTTGATCACGACTTATGGGACTGTAAACAAATTACTTTTGTTTATAGCATACCGTATGTTGGTCTACTCTTCCTGGCCATCAACTGGCATTCTTATAAGACATAATTCTTTTGAAGCCCCTTTCACACAGGCTCCTGTCATTTCCGATAAGCAGAGGAATTTTGCATGGATCCCCTGTTGATTGGAGCAGTTTGGAAAGGATGTCACCGCTGTGACATTTGTGTCTGTCCAGGTTTTACCTCCATCATAAGAAAAACAGAACTTAACGGAACCATGTTATGTCTATAAATGTGGATTTCTTATCACTTTCTGTCACCAGGACCAATTGTAAGGGTGAATCTACCCAGCAGGGGACTTGGGGGGCGGAAGTGGGGTTCTAACCATTCCCAACTCTATTCAAAATAAAAGAAAAGGATTGGCTTTAAATACACTTTGTCATATACAGTATATTGATTGTTTTATGTTGTTTATGTAGATTTCCTGTAGCAGTTATGAGATATAATGTCATCCTTCTTTGCTAAATCTTTAGATTATATTGAAGGAGAGAGTATTGAACACTTTCCTAAACTTTCCTAAGTTTGACAAGGTAATCACTTCATTGGGTCAGAATGAAACACTGGAGAACCTCAGTTTTTCCCAACCTTTGACAGACAATAAACTAATCCTAACAATGCCTTATGTAGAGAATGGAAAGTGGCACCATGTGTCACGATACCGAGGATGTGATCCCAGGAGCAAGCAGGTAGCAAGGGATCTGCCAGGAAACGCAGTCTAAAAGCTAGTGGGTATTCCAGCAAGGACCCCTCACCAGTGGGGTATCAAGGGTATGGCACATATGGTTTGTCTCAGGCAGTGTCTTGTTTAGTCACATAGGGGGCGGCTAACAGAGTGACATATTTAGGCAGCGCAGTGTCATACTGCTAGTATATATGCCTGCTGCTCTGCCCTCCACCCAAGTACAGAAGAGTGGCTCATGTCCCACTCATCTGTACCGAAGCTCAGTGCACCTTAGGCCAGCAGCCAGAATAGCACCAGCAGACTGTGTGTATCCATGGCACAGCGACCTGCCCACTATCTGTATGACTCATTGGGGTTGATTTACTAACCTTTTAAACACACCACGAACGTGTATACACCTCTGTAGTGTGTTCCCTCCCAGCATGATCTATGGGAGGAATCGAAACACCTTTGTAGTGTGTACACACCCAGCAGGTGTGTTGTGCAAAGCCCTGCAATGAATTGCAAGGTAATGTGGTGTAAATTAGCTCTATGTTATGTTGCTTGCGTTGATGAATGCAGGAATGTAAATGCATGAGCTTACCATTTTTGTCTAAACTGTGAAGCAGCATTATATATGCATCATGTGCATGATTTTTCCATATATGGCATTAGTGGAAATATGCTTTTAGAGACTTTTTGGTTGATAAATACGTTTTGCTGTGTGAAAATCACACGCACCTGGTGCGTGCGTGTGTTTAGGTTAGTAAATCACCCCCATTTACTCACTGTTAGTGGGCGGCCTGTACAGTCTGCCCTGGTGTTCTGGCTGCTGAGAACTGGCCGCCGCTTTCAGAATACCTGAACGGAGCTGGCAGTTTATGGGCTGATAACAATTCAAGTAGAAGGGTGTTCTTTGTAATGATTTAAAAACACAAGAAAAACTTAAAGAAAAACTGAAGACAACAGAAAAACTCATCCATCAAGCCTGCACTTTTACAAAAACGTTTTTTGTTGTTTTTAACCTTTTTGTCTAAGTATAGACCTATGTTTGTTTCCAGCATGTTTAAATTCCCTTACTGTTGACTGACTCACCACCTCTGCTGGAAGTCAATTCCAAGTATCCACTGTACTCTTTTGGTAAAAAAAGACATACGCAGGTGTGGATGCGGGCTTATACTGATCTTTTAAAATAACAAATGCAATAATCTGAGAGTTAAAATGGGACAGACGTATTTGGTTTCAAATCTAAAGGAGAGGTTTCCTTGTTACATCAGCTTATTTACTTACATTTCCTATAGCCAAGTTCTGCAGTTCAATGTTTGGTTCCTGTTTCTTTTTGGACATCTACATAGAACTTACATCATGTGCTGTGGATTATTTTTACCTCCTGCTGATTCATGTGACATTGCCCTGAATTAGAACCCCCTCATCTTCCTGCGATAGAAAGGATGTGAAACCTGTTTAAAGGAAAACTATTTGTGTATTTTCAGTGAGTACATAAATTAAGATTTTCATAGTTGCCAACTGTTCTGGAACTGCTGAGACAGTCCCGCTATTAAGCCAATTGTCCTGCATTGCCTTCATCTCGTGCAGTGTCCCAGGAAAGCAGCATGTGGCTCACTGAGGGTATGGCTGCCAGTATGGAGAAAGCTGCTGCCTGCTAGTGGTGCAACCAGGTCGGTGAGTTTGGAGTTCTGTACTGTCCTAGATGTTTGTAGCCCTTTATCCTCTCTCTCACTGAGTTGCATATGGAATAAAATCTTGAAGTGGCTGGTGCCCAACTTTACATTCACATCCCACAACCAGCTAAGGACTCAACCCTAAGGTGAAATGTTAGCCCACCCTGCCTCTGAAGTCCCCATATGCTCCTATAGGTCAAGGGGATGCTACAAGTATGTTAAAAAAAAAAAAAAGGACAAGCTAAATGTCATTCAGTTAGGGTTTATTTCTCCTTTAATTCTCATGCACCAGGTACAGTCTGTTTGAGCACTGCATTGTCTTTTTCTTTCTATCTTGCTCTTTTTGATTCTTGTAACTATATACAGTAAGCACTTGACACATACCACCAATAAATGTGGTTTCTTCCTGCCAGTGATAATCACACCTGTGTACGTGATCATTCCACTTCCCTATTAAAAATCTTAGTAAGCTCAGTCGTTCAGCTGTAGAAGACGTATTTATTTTTCTTGGTAACATATACCGTTTGGTAAGTACCAGTACCTTAAATACTCTATTCTTTATATGAGGAAAATTTTGATCTTTTTTTAATTTTGTTAATTTTCATGAAAAAAAAAATATATATGTAATTTGTTTTCTGTTTGCTAATATCTTTTCTATGTATTTATGGAGCGGCTGTTCTTTGTTTTTTTTAAAGCGCCGTACACACACTTTTGGTAATTTTAATATGTGTTCTATGTTTTTGGAAACCAGCCAGTATTTGCATGGGCTAGGCACTGGTTCACTTTAAGAGTCTGGACATACATGTAAAAAACACCAGCACTCATAAGCGTATGTATGTACAGTGCTAAAGCCTACCAAAACGATTATTTTCATGCACTAGCACAACTGTTATACAATAATAGGACAAAAGGCAAATATATATTTTACAGAATGAAGTGACTTTGCACTTACCTTGAAATAGGGATAATTAGGGATGAGGAGCCATCCCCAGGATTTCATTCTTAAACATGTCAGCAGTTCTGATCAGTAGCAGACATGCCAAGTAGCCAATTCGGGTCTGATGATGTCTAAATGCCCCCACATTTCTGAGATAACAATAAGGTAAGTGCAAACCTATTTTTTCCATTTTGCAAGATACTGGAGTTATTGATACTGGAGATAGGAGTTATTGCCAAACGTTTACGATCAAACGGACTCAGCATAATCAGTTTGCTTACATGCATGTAATAAACCAAGCATTTGTATGATCATTATACTTTTAGAAAAAGCACTACAAGAAAATAAAAGACAGGAAACAATTGTATCTCCCAGTCACAACCAGAACTATTATGGGATGATAGCCCTGATCTGATAGAGCTGGGGAAAGGGGGGGTATGGGTCAATAGGGGGGTAGCAGCTTACAAGGACATTAAGGCGGGACTTAACTCATGCACCCTAATATAATTTTTACTATTTGTGCTGAAGCTTTAATTGGTCTTTAAAGTTTATGAATAGCTAAAACAATTATGATTGGTTTTGGATGAAGTGGTAAAAAGTCAGAACCTCTGTTACATTTGTAATTTGTCACTGCTGTAGAGATCTGTGCTCACTATTTTTGCTGCGACCATAATCTCTAACTCAAAAAGTGATGAAGAATCTAACATTTCAAAGTTATTACAAGCAGGTCCGGCCTTAGGCCTTTAGGCGCCCTGTGCGAGAAAGCTTTACAGCGCCCCTCAGTGACCACACCCCTCAGTGGCCACACCCTTCAGTGGCCACACCCCCAGTAACCACACCCATTTATTACCCATATTTTTGGTAAAATATAAAAGTCGGGGTCACGTCGGGTAAATAGACACCAAACATGTCATGCTTTAAAATTGCGCGCACCCGCAAAATCGCAAAAAATTACCATGCCCAAAATTGACCATAGGTAACGCTTTAAAAGCTTTTACCGCTCATCAGTTTAGTGTTATCAGTGATTGATAGCCCTACAATTATTGCTCTCATTCCGACGTTCGCAGCGATATGTAACATGTGCGGCGTAATGGGCGAAATCGTCGTTTTCACACGTATGCGCACCCGACGCCTGTTTGCATGCGTGTATGTATGGGGGGGACTTTAAAAAAAATGTAATTCTTTTTTATTTGTAACTTTACATTTTTGGGGGGGAAACTTTATTGCTATCACATAGGGGGGTTAGAAAACCCCCTTATGTGATAGCAAAATATGTGGCAGGTCCTCTTTATGGAGACATCAGGGGTCTCCAAGACCCCTAATGTCACCTAGGACCCCCCTGAAGAAGCTGATGAAGCACAGATCTGCTTCATCAGCTTCTCTCCAGCATCTGAAGCTGGAGAGTGACACAAGAATGCGGAAGTGATGTAATATACACCACTTCCGCATTCTGACAGCGGAGAGGGGACCGGAGGGAGCTCGTGTACCGAGCTCCCTCTGATCCCCTGTGACAGAGGCCATATGCTGGTCACGGGCTCGCACTGGGCACAGCAGAGCCCGGGACCAGCTTGACAGCGGGAGGGGGAGAGCCGGGGAGGGCGCAATTCACAGGACCTCATACAAGCGATCCGCCGGCTCTAAAGCCGGCGGATTGCTTGTATGTTAACGGCCATCGCTGCCTGTTTTCAAATAACGGGCATTTCCCGCTCATGAGCGCCCAGCGTTGCGCGCGAGGGGGCGTGCCTGAGCGGACGTCTAAAGACGCCTAAATATCACGTCTAAATATCAATGATATTTACCGATCCTCCGCTCAGCCACGCACAGAGCCGCTGTCATCCTGAAACTGCTCCGATCTCCTACCTGCTCGGCCATCCTGACAGCTGCGGGCACGGCTTCTCTCCCCCTCACTGCTCCGCCATCCTGACAGCAGGCCTGAAGGGGGGGGGGGCGGACAAGGGAGCGCTGTCATATCGGATGGCCATCGCCCAGCGGTGAGGGGGAGAGAAGCCGCCCCCAGGACGAGCTGTGTCGGCCGCACGGCGCCCCCCTAAGGCCGGCCCTGATTACAAGAACACAAGGTGATGGGAAATCTTCCACTGAGGACCCCTGTTCCTGTGACTATCTAAGATGGGATTTCCCCATGCTTCTAACGATTTCCTCTCACTTCCTGTTTCATTTCTGTTGCATGGGACAGGAAGTGATGGAAACGCTCCCTAATGGGACACAGACAGCAAACATTAAACTGGCAGAGGTTTTAACCCTTTCCTACTCAAGGAAATGGCTATACATAAAAATGGGGGCTATTTTTAAATCTTTTACTAAGCCATATGCTGGACAAATTCCATTTGCATGACATTTCCTCCACTAGATGGAGCCAAAGAGCATAGAAAATTTGTATGCTCTTTGGCTCCATCTAGTAGTGGGAACGCCATGCAAATGGCATTTGCCCAGCGTATGGCTGGGTAGAAGATTTAAAAGACCCCGTAAGTATACATACAGAACAAAAGCATATGATACATAGTTGTTGAGGTTAAATAAAGACACAGGTCCATTGAGTTTTACGTGTGTGTGTGTGTTACTAAGAGTACCTGTACACGTGTATATTGTGCTCTCTGAAGAAAGCATCTAAAAGTTTCTTGTACTAGTCAATGCTCTTTTCTGATACCACTTCTCGGGGAAAGGAGTTCCATTGCTCTACAGCTATTACAGTAAAGAATCCCCATTGCAGTTTGAGATTAAACCCCTTTTCCTCCAGCTTCAGGTGGTTCGCAATCTTTCCTCATAGTTTTGGTCCTCCAGCCACTTTAATAGTTTAATAAAAATTACAGCTTAACTCTTTAAGTACCCGTGGGTGTAAGTTATCTGGTCCTGCGCATTTATTCACATTACGTTTTTCCAGTCTATGTTGTACCCTATCTTCCGTCAACCACTGCAGAAAATTCCTGACATTACTACTCCCAATCTTGTATTGCACCATAATGCATGGAGTGCAGTGATCTCTGCACTCCATGCATTATGCACTTCTGACCCCTGCATTCCATGCATTATGCACTCATGACCCCTGCACTCCATGTCTTATGCACTCTTGACCTCTGCGCCCTGTACTTTAGACACCCTTGCATGCATGGTGTGCATAGCGTGCGGTATTGTTCTAATGCCCGGGGTAGTTGGCATGGTAGGGGGCAAGAGCATTTTGTCTTTATATCCTAAATATCTGCCCCTTGTTGCAAAAGTCTGTGACCAATTGTTTTAGGACATGCTAAAAATGGGTGCATGATTTTTGTGGGTGTGGTTAAAAGCGGGCATGGTCATTAGGGTGTCCTCGGATTTCATTTTGAAAATATGGTAACCTCACTGTATGGGGCTCCATGATTTCTAATAGTGACCCTGCTTGTTACTACTAACTAGACCTCACAACACAATTTTATCTTCAAATGTTTCATTTATATGTGAGACCAATCACCTCTATTTTATTTAGGTAGTGACCCATTTGCTTCTTTACAAGGATGGACCTCACAAAGATATCTGAGTTTGACTCAACTTTTAATCCTGCCATGTTACCAGACTTTATGCACATTGATTTAAATTCACTTGTCCGTGAACTGGAAGAAACCCACATCAAAATAAGAGAGCAACTACCTAAAGCCTTGGTTCTCAACTGGTGGGTCGTGACCCAAAAGTGGGTCGCGACCCCATGTTCAGTGGGTCGCCGCATGGCTTCCACTTTTCTAGGTGAGAGGCTCCCCAGCCTCCCCCTAGCACAGCACTGTTCGCTCTCACACCAAGCAGCTATTCAAAATATGCTGTCCGGCGCCAAGTGTTGACTTGAGGTGGGGTGGGGTGGGCTGGGGGTATGGCCGCGAGGGAGCTTCATCCATACGTACATTGCTTATAGCTCCCTTGCATGCCCTGTAGAGGTGCCTGGAACGGAGTGACGTCACATTCTGGCTCCCAACTACTCTACAGGGACACATGGGAGCTGTGCAAGCAATGCAAATATGGATGTGGCTCCATCACAGCACAGCAGCCCACACTGTTGTACGTTCCATTGCAGTGTGACTTAGGTCGCGACTTAATGACCATGGACAAATGTGAGTCCTGAGGTTACACAGGTTGAGAACCACTGACCTAAAGGACCCATCTATTCCATGAGAAGTGAACTTAAGAGGTTGCGGATTCATCATGCAATTCATGATGTGTTGTTAAATACAAAACTGCCTCAATGTGTATCTTTTATATCAGACTTTAGATTTAGGTTAGCCAGTAAAGGGTATCACCTAAACTCCAAACTTTCCACATGACTCTACCTCTTCCATGAAGGAGATTAGCAGTGGAAGCCCCCATGTTTTCTCTTGTGAAAGGTTTCCTTTATGTATACTGCAAGACAGTGTTGCATACTTGTAAAACTCTGGTGAGTCCATTTGCCATGCTGGATTCAGTGACATTCACAGCATATTCACTCACCGGCAGCATTATTGGTCTTTTATCTTTTTATCTAAAGATAGATCGGTGCAACTTTATTTACCAAAAAAATATATCAAAACCAATATGTAAAATGTGCTTCATGTATAGCCCAAGTTCATTTGGATTAGTTTCAGCAATCATTTAGCTCTGTGTTGCGTACAATCTGATTTTTGTTTTTTGTATGATATCAATCTTTATCCTATAAAAATGAGATAGTGATGTGTGAGCACCATTCTATGCAGCACTGAGCTGTGAGCCCACGCTGTGCGATGATTAAATACACAGTCCAGCTTACATGTCATATTTTCCTGAAAGCAGCTACTTGTGCTATTACTGCTATTGTACTGATGTCTCATTCCCAAAGAGAACTGACCTCTGATATGTTACAGAACTCACAGCAATTTAGTTTCTTTCTAGGAACAGAAACCCAGATAACATTGCAACACACGTGGTGTCTAGGTTTCTTCCTCCTTTTAGTTTCATCCAGGGTGTGAACACATATAAACAAAGTTATAAAACGTTCTAATTACAGATCCCTATAAAGACAAAGAGGGAATTTATCAATCTTGTTGCATCATCATAGGCGTGCATGCCTATTGCATTAGGGTGTGCATACAAAAGTACAAACACACACACACATATATATCAATTGAATCTTAAAAAGGGTTGGGTTTATTTACAAACAGGGATTTACATAAATTCTAATTACAATCAAGGGAAATGAAGAGGGAATGTGGAAGGGGAAGTAGGGATAAATGTTGGGGTCTCAGTCATCCAGCTAGCACAGTCATTCTGTGTCTCTCATTCACACATGCCAGGGCCTTTGTCTCTGTCCTTGGAACAGTCCCATCAAGCAGGGCTCAGCGAATCACATTCTTGATTGTAGAGTCCAGAAAGACTTGTCTTGTCCAAGAGGTCACCAAGGTTACCATTATTATTATTGAGCTAGGGTTGTGCGGATGATTACACAGGAAGGTTCCATCATATGCCCTTGCCCCCATCCCAGCATGCATGCTGCATTGCTTAACCAGTGTGGGCATTAAATACCAGCAAGGCGTTTAGATTGTCCCAGGAGATAACGACCCTCAGGTATCCATCAGGTATCCATCCATCCTTTATTGTCCCTTCTCCAAGAGCTCTGTTTGATGATCCCTATTTGTTTATCACAGGCACATTCATATTGTTCTTTCAGGAGGCATGGAAGACCTTTATATGAAAGCTGTGTCATAGATATTAATTTTATAAGCTCCAATAGCCAGTAACCATTGTAAACATAACTGATTTCAACAGGCAAGTTACAATTCCTGAAGAGTGGTAGACATCCATGCCAAACCAAGAGGGCCAAAGTAAATGGAAAGGCAGAAACATTACATTACTCATTATTGATTCTCTCGGGAGGCTTCATACATCACCCTCTGGGATTCCACTAGATCTACTCATGTGGGGCTCCAGTCCTGAGAAGCATACTGTACTCTCAGTATACTTTGTGTTGGCCAATGTTGCACCTTGCTTCTGGTCCAACTTTCACCCCCCAACCAGTTCTCACTTCACAGCACAAATTTTGTGTTAGCACCGCTGGAAGCAAGGGCCACTTTATGCTGAAGAAAGTTTACTGAAGAGCTTTTTTTTTGGTTTTACCTGGTGATCCTGTCAGTAACACATGTTGTATCCTAGGGTCCCAAAGCTTATTCACTGTACTGTATCTAAAGAGAAGTAGTGTTGTCGTCCTAAGACACCTGCCCCTCTCCTTCTCCATATCATAAAGGAGAGGGCTTCTGTAGTCCTCAGACATAGCTTGGATAATAATATAACTGATAAGAGGGCAGAGAGCATAAAGAGTTTTTGAGAAAACCCCTCTATATGTTATGTTTTCCTATTCACACAGCACACCAAAAAATTATTACAAAAAAAATATTTACCTTTTAGATGTTCTGTTCTAGCAGTCAACATGGCTGATTCCAGGTTTTTCTGAGCACCTTCACAGTGATCTGTCCTTATAGAAAGACTTAGGACTGAAACCTGAGGATTGTGTTTCTCCTATTAACCTCATTAACATAGAATGCAGAAGCATCACAAACATTGTAAAGGACTGCTCTCCCAACCTTCGTGTAACATTAACTGCCTCTGATTACCTCCCTTAAGGTATTAAAAGTCAGAATTCTGAGATTAAAAGTCAGAATTCTGAGATTAAAAGTCAGAATTCTGTGTTTAAAAGTCAGAATTCTGACATTATAACGCTAGTAGTAGCCTCTAAAGAGTGTTTTGATTGGTGGGGCGAATGGAAATGAAGCCATTGAGTCAGGCACTCCTCGGGGCGGCTTCTCTCCTCCTCACCGACATGATGACATCGCTCCCTCGTCCGTCCGTCCAGGGTCACAGGAGGGAGCGCTGCCTGCTGTCAGGATGGCGGAGCGGTGAGGGGGAGAGAAGCCGTGCCCGCATCTGTCAGGATGGCCGAGCGAGGAGGAGATCGGAGCCGCTGTCATCCTGTCATAAACTAAATTACATCCACCTGTTGCCTGCAGAAGCTAACCCGCAGGAGAATAGGGCTGTGCAGGGGGCGATTGGGCCACGGGAAGGGGGCGGGGGGGTGCAAGTAGCTGGACTCTTTATGTTTCAGCTCTCTGCTTTAGATGGCATATGAAGGTTACCGGTTTGCTGTTCCAGATAATGATGCTGCTCTTGTCCACAACTCTGTTTAATGCCTGCCAAATATCAATATGACAGACCAGGAAGATATCAAGACCCCACTATGCCAGCACAGACAATCAATGCATTGAAGGAGCTACCAATACAGCAATGGAGATAGAGAACACTGTTTAGCCCCAATATGTACTCAAAGATAACAAGAATACACTGCTTTTATAAAGCTTTTGCACAGTCTGACTATACTGTATTTTTATTGATATGGGCACTTACAGATACCAAGGAGACAAAGCAGTTACAAAGCTCATGCACAGTCTGTCTATAGATAGATAGTCAGTGTGCAACATGGGTGGTTATTACACTGTTGCTCATTGGTCCTATAATCTTACCAATCAAAACACTCTTTAGAGGCTACTACCAGCGTTATAATGTCAGAATTCTGACTTTTAAACACAGAATTCTGACTTTTAATCTCAGAATTCTGACTTTTAATCTCAGAATTCTGACTTTTAATCTCAGAATTCTGACTTTTAATCTCAGAATTCTGTTTAATTATTTTTTTTAGCATGGCCCCAGGGCTCTTCCGTAGATCATCCATCTACTTACTGTATATGGGACATTTTCTCTTCCATAATTCTCATTTTTATTTTTCTCTTTCTGCATAATGTATGGCCATCCTTTATGTATGATGCATGCTATTACCTTAGTAAAAAATTATATTTAAATCATGTTTGTATTAGTATATTTACATATGCTAAATTTATGATATGCAGACTAGATATGCTGACACAACATTTCTTGTTTTATGAATAAAGATGGTCTATTCTATGTACATTAAACAGGCTAGAGCTGAACTTTACATTTTATGTAATGTTTCCCTTATTTAGTTTCAGTATAAAAGTTATTTAATGAAAATACTGCAATAATAGGTGAACATATTTAGTCTCTGAATATATGCTATACTTTTCCTTTAAGAGAGACATTTAGCTGACTTAGCACTGCAATATCTATTACCATCTCACTTTCTTATCAGGCTGGTTCTTCCTCTTTCTCCTAATCACATGAACAGCTCAGAAGTTATATCCATGATGTTTGTTAGAGGAAATGGTCTGGTTGTAATGATCTCCTAAACATTTGGATTTCTTTCTTTGCTTCTTCATTTGGTTTCCTTTGGTAAGTACATGACTTTTTCCTTGCTATATGATGTAATTAATGCTGTTTTGGACACTTTAGTTACTGTTCAATACATCTGCGCAGAAGTACGTTCTTAAATACTTTATGATAAGCTGATCATGCTTTCACCAAAGTCCACTTGGCAAAGTATTATGGAATCTGTGATCTTGTCTATAAATATTCAAATCTTCTGAAGATCCCTTTGACATTGAAGAGCATATTCAATGTCCTGAGTATGTCACATGAAATAACCACCACTGCATGGTGGTCAGATGTACAGCACAATACTTATACTACCACAGACATTTTTTCTTTGCATTCTAGTGCATAAACAATCATAGACAAACACAACCAGATAGTTGGAGTGTACACATCTATGTACTCTACAGACACACCCCATGTCAGGCTTATCTGTACCCCAAGATTGATTGCTCAAGGGCAGGGGTCCGCAAACATATTAAACAAAGGGACAGTTAACTGTCCATTAAACAGTTTGGGAGCCAGGCTGAACAAAGTGGTAGTAAAATATGCCCCAGCATCCGAGGTCAATGGAAGTGAAAAAAAATGCCAGTGGTCAGAGGGACTAAAAGATGTCCCTAGTTCAGTGATCAGTAAGGGTAAAAAAAATGCCCCTATGTCAGTGGTCAGGGGGATCATAAAACACCCATGGTGTAAAAAATGCCCCTACATTATTGGTCAGGGAGAATAAAGAATGTTCCTACATTGGTAATCAGGTGGATTAAACAATGTCATTACATCAGTGGTCAAGGAGAGTGATGAATGCCCCTATATTGGTGGTCAGGGGGAGTAAAAATGCCACTTTGTTGGTGGTCAGGGGGCGTAAAAAATTGGCCCTATGTCGGTGGATAAGCTGGAGTAAAAAATGCCCCTATGTTGGCGTCAGGGGGAGTAAAAAATGTCACTAAGTCAGTGGTCAGGGGGAGTAAAACATGCCCTTATGCCAGTAGTTAGTGGGGAAAAAATGCACCTACATCAAAGGTCAGTGGGAGTAAAGAATGCACCTACAGTGGTCAGTGGAAGTAAAGAATGCACCTATATTAGTGGTCAGTGGGAGTAAAGAATGCACCTACATTAGTGGTCAGTAGGAGTAAAGAATGCACCTACGATAGTGGACAGTGGGAGTAAAGAATGCACCTATATTAGTGGTCAGTGAGAGTAAAGTATGTGCCTACATCAGTGGTCAGTGGGAGTAAAGTATGTGCCTACATCAGTCGTCAGTGGGAGTAAAGTATGTGCTTACATCTGTGGTCAGTGGGAGTATAATATTGGCCTACCTTAGTGGTTAGTGGGAGAAAAGAATGCCCCTGCATCAGTGGGAGAAAAAAAGGTTCCTGTGGCAGTGAGGGAAATGGGACCCCATCATGAGTGGGATTGGGATTTAGAAAGCCTCTCCCGCAACATTGGAGTCATTGGGAGAAAAAAAAGATCTATGGAATTGATGTTCATTGAGAGTAATGAAAGTTCCTCCCTCCAGCATTAGTATACAATGGGCACTTATGCTCTTATCTGATAATTTTACTTACATAGGATGTCAAGCAAGCAGTGTGATCGCCCAGCTACTAAATGCAAAAAGCAAAGAGTACAGAGCTAGCAGCGGGGAGCCCAGAGATCTCCAGCAATCATAGGGAGGAGTAATTATATAACTCCCCTCCCTCACACTGCTTAATTGGTGTGCAGGCTCCTTGTTGTCACATCACATCTGGGACAATACAGGCACCATCAGACAAATGATCTACATTGCAGTGCCCAGCACCCACTGCCACTCTGCACGGCAGCCTCCTTCCAGTATGCAATGAAAAAGTCTTGTCTAATCTCACCAAAACTGACAGGTGAAGGTTGTGTAGAACATGACTTGAATCACCTGCACTCCATACCATGTTGTGACTTTGTAGAATGGAGGTGTTTACAGTGATGACACGGATGGCGTTGTGCAAAAACTGCAACATAAATATCAGATACAAATAGATCTGCACTGTGCTTAAAACTAGTATTACTACTATAAATATGCCCTTAAATAAAATCAATGTGTATTGTACTCTATAACAATATTACAACAATAATGAATGTACCATTAAGTAGTGCCAGGAGTACATAAATATTAATATGATAATATCCTACATATAATACCCTGAAATCAAAGGCATAAAGTGCTTGGATGTAATCTTAAAGTGCATACAACCCTCTCTTTATAAAATAGTGCTATATTCAAAAGGTGCTTTCAATCAATACACAAGTGCAAATCACCAGCACGCACATTGTGATCCTTATTCAGTCATCTTCACATTTCGTCTTATATGGCAATGTTTCGGGACTGCATATAGTCCGTTACCTGAGTCGACAGATTGACACTGTGTTGCCTTGCGGAAGGGACCCTACACAGCCCCAAAACGTTGGCATTTATGACAGAATGTGACGATAACTGAATAAACTGAATAAGGTGTATTATGTGTTTGCTGGTGCAGGTTGTGTGTCATGGTGACAGCTTACCTTTGTACAGCTAACAGAGATCAATGGAGAACTGAAAGAAAAATCCAGACAGGTGTTTTTCACATAAAGCTTCAATATCCCAGGGTTCTCACTTTTACTGTCAGTATCCGCTTAAAAGACAGTGGAAATTGTAGTGTCTACTTACAGTATATTTGTGATCAATAAAGTGCCCCTTACATTGGTGGACAGTGGATAAGAGCCGCTTTATGTCTGTGGTCAGTGTAGTGCTCTCTACACTGGGGGTCAGTGGAGGTTGCCCCTTTACACTGATGATTAGTGGGAGACCACTAGTGTCAGTGGCTGGTTATACAAGAGTCAGGAAGAGACACTTTTACTGGTCCTATGTCACTGCATCTGCCAAGTGAGGCTGGCAACTGAACTATGCAGTCAACGTTAGCAGTCCAAACAGGTCATGGCAATTATCAAGATTTCTAAAGGAGACCCTAGGTGGCATTTTGTAGAACCTAAGATGAGAAAGGCTGGTTTATGGAACAAGGCTGTTGGTTCTTTAAAATCCTATAGAGTTTAAATCCTATATTTGGTTTACAATATTCACTTAAAAACTATTAACATTTTTACCTATCTTGCAGGACACGAAACGATGGACCTGATTAATATATCTGAGTTTGAGTCATCTCACAGCATTCCTTTACTTCCATCTATGATGCATGTAGATGTGAGCAAATCTTTTCAGTTTGCTGAAGAAAGACACAGGAAAATACGAGAGCAGTTGCCGAGAGGACCAATATACTCCATGAGAAGTGAGTTAAAGAGGCTGAAGAGTGTTTTGGCTCAAGACCCTTTATCCAGCTGGTCCCCGAAAGAGATAGCACATGCAGGATTCTTTTGTACAGGCCTGGAGAAGAGCTGTCAGTGCTTCTGCTGTGGACTAGTACTGTGCAAGCAAACTTTTAGCTTTACCCCAATGGACCAGCACAAAAAATTTAACCCCGACTGTGAATTTGTTAGGGGCAATGATGTAGGGAATATTTCAAAATATGAAACCCGTGTGCAGCATAACACATATCAAAGAGACCATGGAGAAGATATGGAAGATATGCAAAACAGGTTACAGTCATTCTCTGCCTGGCCTGTCTATGCTTTACTAGAGCCCTCTGCTCTTTCACAAGCTGGGTTTTTCTTCACAGGTAATTGTCTCAGAATTCCCATACTGGCTTTTTTATACAGTGATTTACAACATATGATATACGATGATCCGGTACAGGTCATGATTTTTCTACCCTATGTAAAATAATGCAGGTACAAGAGACACAGTGCAGTGCTTCTCCTGTGCAGGATGTTTGGGAAACTGGGAGGAGAATGACGATCCATGGAAAGAACATGCAAAATGGTTTCCAGAGTAAGTTGTATAGAAATAATCAATTAATGGGAAACAATGTAGTTTTATTATTAAACATTGTTTGCAAGTGTGCCAAACCTCAATACCGGTACAGGAATTATCAAAAGTTTGCTTAATAATTTTATTGAAACTTCATCTTAACCCTATACAAGCTCTTTAAAATTGTGAGAAGCATTCAGGAGATCAGCACGACCAAAAGACAACTAGCAATGAGAAAGGGTAAGCAATGGTAGCCTCCATGCTCATGTACCTGTGACTTCTGTCCGGGGGTTTGCGTGTGTCATCAGGGCTGTGCGGGCGGCGGGAAGGAGGAGGAGATGATCGGTCAGCGTAAATAGCTGCTGCGAGGTCCCCACCAGGCTGCTGTGAAGTGGAGGACCTTAAAGCAGCTGAAGCTATTTGAAAATGTAAAGTGCCAATATTGGTGCTTAGTATCTAGGCATTTCCACAAGTACAAGTAGTACTCGTGAAAATGAACAGTATTGGCAATTATACTAATACTGGTATCTGTATCGGTCCATCCCTAATAAATAAAGAAATATATATATTGATATAATTACTGTTGGAGTTCTGTAGAGAAGAGTTCTTGTGTAGAGAACTCCCCCAGAAAAGTAATTAAGTAAAGATACCCCAAACCATATACCATAAGAAGCCATGTCTGATATTTTTACCAATTTTAGAAAAGCATAGTTGGTTGTGGATTGAGCTAAACGGTAGATGCATAAAGGCTATTAAATATGTAATATCAATTTTTTTAGGTGGATTCACCTTCTTAAAAGGGCAGGGCCCCAGTACATAAGAGCTAGCATGTAGGAAGGCTAAAAAATATATTTTTTTTGTTCACCTGAAAAGGCAAGATAGGCATGAAGTACTTGAAAAGACCATTTCTGTGAACAGTGATGATTTCTGAACCACACACCTGCAGTTCCAGTAAAATGAGAAGTTTCTGGTAAAATATCAATCATTTTCACTTTTGACTAGCATTTAAGAAGCAGTTTGGAAGAATCTATGCTGAAATTTTGAAAAGGAGCTCATTCAGCAGTGTTAACTTGCATTTGGTATTAATTTTTTCCTTTGTAGTACTCAATAGAAATGTAATGCAGAACAAATGCACTGTATAGGAATCACAAACGCATTGTAAATGTTTCACAAATACTATATAATTACATTGCAAATACAATCCCTATCACCTGAAAACAAGTGTTTTGGTTAAATGCTGGTGGAGTAAATAACTCAGTGCTTCTTATATCTCTTGGGATTTCTGAGGGCACTGGCGGATTTACCAGGGTCGCAGAAGTCACATTTGTGACCGGGCCCGGGCATTCCGCCAGTTGGGGGGGTTGCCGAGAGAGGAAGAAGAGAGCCCGCATCTCCCTCATGCCACCCGTAGCCGCTGTAGTGTAGATTCTGTAGAAGGAGAGGGGGCCAGCGAACTTCAATTCCCTGCAGGCAACGGGGTGAGGGAGGTGCGGGATACCGACGGGAGGTCCTGGCAGCGTGGCCACTGGAGAAAGGTACGCAAATCGGCTAGACTAGAGGGACAGAAAGCTGCTGGTACTGAGGATATCAACTGTGTCATCCTCATTCCCCTTCACCATCACCATCACTTACTGATGTCTGTGTCCCCCTCCATACTGTCTGTGTTCTACCCACAGAGCATCTCCCAACCCCTCCACCTATAATAGACTGCTGCCTCTGTATGGCCCCCCACTGATATCCCCCCCCCCGCAAACGACTCCACCTACACCTGTATACCCATACACATCTGTCTGAGGGTGATGGCTCTGACCTGAGTTTCCTCATCTATCCACCTATCACAGAGGGGTGGACTTTCCCTATTTGTTGGATTACTTGTTTTATATTATGGAAAACAGAAGCAGCGGGATGAAGATTTCCTGCTGTCAAAGGAGAATTAAGACACCATAGCAGGTGACTATTGCACTACTGGTGTCCATGAAAGATAAAAAGCCAGTGGATGATTCAGGAAGGCACTATCATCAGATAACTTAAATGAGAACTATGGGGTTAGGGCTTTTCCCCATAGTTCTCCTTAGGGTAATGGGAGGACACAAACTAGCGTCCTCCCGTCACCCTAAGCTCAGTATACCGCGAGCTACAGCTCACGGTATACTGAGACGCCGCAGCTGAAGCGGATCCCGACAATTATGTCTGGATCCGCCCAGCTGCGCGAGTGACAGCTGGCTCTGCCTATCTAGAGGCAGAGCCAGCTTTAACCGCCCCCTCCCCCGTCCATTCCGCCAGTCAGCGCTGGCGGATCGGTGCGGGGAGGGGGGAATCCATCCCCTCCCCTGTCACGGCCGAGAGCCGTGACATGATCGAGAAGTGAGCGAACGCCGGTATGTGTTCGCTCACCTCCCAATCTACTGAGCCGACCTGTGACAGTCTCATTGTCACAGGTCGGCTAGAACTATGAGGATGAGTGAAAAGCACTCACCTCATAGTTCTCATTTAAATATAAGGGTTTGGTGGAAAGCAAACAGATAAATGTCATTCAATCCTGTATTTTTTTCAATAGGTGTTCATTTCTCCAGAGCCAAAAATCCAAAGATGAAACTGAGCAATACATAGCAAATTACTGCGGATTCGCTGGATTGACGGTAAATGGAATCTAGTGTTTATAGCCTGTGAAATCTGGCCCTTTAAATACATGGTGCTGCATGAACCAATGTTATAGTGACATTTTCATCTATTGAAAACTGACACTCAGATAGAATATTCCATACTGTCACTCAATTGGAAGGTGACTGAATTAAATAAGGGGAAATGCATATTTTACAAATTCAGTGGCTAATGAGGTCAAAAACAGTTCCGCTGTTGAAGTGTAAGTCAAGTAAAAACTGGTTTTCTTAGTGTCGGATAGAGGGAGGAAGGTTTAGAACCCCTGTCAGGTTTTTACTACTTTCCGGGGCTAAGTTCAGGAGACTTACTCTCATTTCCTGTGCTGAGAGGAAGTGGGGGTAACGCTCCAACAGCAACACAGACAGAACTAAAAATACTTGCCTTTAGAAGAGTAGGGAAAGCTTTTTTTTTTTTTTTTCTGTTTGAGTCCCTGATTTTCCCTCACTTCCTGTCTGGTGAAACTGTTGTTGGTAAATCTCTCTAATTGTGTTCTAATGCTTCATCACTCGATTCAAAGCTAGAAACACTCGTTGACATACACTTTAACCTTGGTCAAATATATCTTTGGTGGTATAGTGCTACTTCCTAGTCCTGCCCCACTCGCAGGACAGGGGAGAGGAAGAGCCACCCTCTGCCTGCTGTCTCTATGCTATGGGCGGAGGGGAGGAATCAGCCAGCCCGGCGGGGGGTTAATTGTTAACCCTGTTGCTGCCTACTGCTTGCTGTTTCTATGCAAGCGGGTGGGCAGAGGGGTGGGGCCTGGTCCGGCCAGGAGCTTGTGAAGAAGCTGCCGATTCCGAGCCTGATAATGTGAGGCTGCAGCATCTGGTTGTTAGGCAATGACGCTTGTAGCCTATTTAAAACGCCGGCTCTTTTCCTTTGGTCCCCTCTGTGTTTGGCTGTGCTGCCGGCTTCCTCTCTTGTTGTTCTGAATACAGGTCAGTATGTGATGGTTCAGGGGCACACACATTTAACTTCTTTTCTTTATGTCCTTATGTATCCTTATGTGTTCCCCCCTGGTCCTGTCATTTTGTAAGGCAGCTTGTTTGAAAAATGAGCCTACCTACTAAAGCACCGAAGAAAACTGAAGAGGCTGAAGCTAGTGAAGTGAGATCATTCATCAAACAAGCAGTGGTGCAGAGCATGCAAGAGTTTTCTCAAGCCGGACCTTCAGGGTTGGTCAGACGAGATTCAGGTGTCTCGAATGAGGCGGCGGAGTCTCTATCTTCTCCTGCTCCGGCATTGGATTGGAATCCTTCTGCTTCATTGGAGGACTTTGAGAATGCTTCCATTTTCTTTGCGTTTGCTAAGATACCCGCTTTTGTTAAAGTAGTTAAAGAATCAAACAACTTGGAAGATGTGGAAAGTTTCGTGCCTACAAAAAAAATAAGGAGATATTTTCCAGAGTTGAAACGTGATCTCTCATCTTTCCCTTTGTTTTTCGAGATTAAGGAGTTTATAGAAGAAGAGTGGGCCAAACCTAATAAAAAACGGTTTCCACAATAGCATGGCTAAGCTCTATCCTTTCCGTGCACAGGATGTTAAAAAGTGGGATACTCCTCCTAGAGTATGTAGATCGGCAGTAGCATTGACCTTGGTACCTCGTGCTATTCGTAGCTGGGGCTCTCGTCTGGAAGATTTGCAGAATGTAAGAGAAGAGGAGGAGTTAATTACATGCTTTTCAAATCTCGAACTGGCAACAGATTTTGTTGCAGAAGCAGCGGTGGATCAAGTGAGGATGAATGCCTGCGTCATAGCTTATTCTGTTAATGCTAGAAGAGCGTCATGGTTGAGGCAGTGGTCGACCTCTAAGCAGAACCTTTGTTCCATACATTTTGAAGGACAGCAGCTCTTCAGGAAAATGTTGGAGGAGGCTATTAAGCGCGTTTCAGGCGGAAAGTGAAGTCTGATGCCACAAGACTGAAGGAGGCAGCACCAGTCCTTTTGTTCATTTCGTTCAACCAGAGATCATTTCAGAGAGGCCAGATCTTACACACCAGGAAAGGAGCCTTTTCGTTCCTCACCGCAGCCGATGCAGTCTGCCTTTGTCCGGGCATCCAAAAATAGGACTGCCGTGGGCTCCAAAACTTCAGACAAAGCTTTCTGAATGTGTGTCTGCCTAGCTGAATCCAGTGGGGGCCAGACTGTCTTTGTTTGAGTCCGCATGGGTAGAGAATGTTTCAGACAGATGGATCCTGGATATCATTGCCCATGGATACAAGATAAAATTTGCAAAAAGACCGCCTGTGGCTTTTTGCGTAGCAACGAAGATTCCAGCCTATCAAGAGAAATTACGGTGCCTGCAAAGTTATATAGCAGAATTGCTTCAAGTACAAGCAATTGTTCCAGTCCCCGGCAGTGAAAGAGGGAGCGTTTGTATACCAGCCTATTCTGGTGTAACCGGCCTATTCTGCTGCATCTGCTTGCTGTCACTGACACCGCTCCGCAGCTCCTTCACAGCTGCTGCTGAGCTATGTCAGTGACAGCCAGCACCCGAGACGCCATAGCGACTGTCTATCAATCAATGTTGGTGCCTTTTCTGAGCCAGCCAGCCCTATACCAGCCTTATGTATTTTAATAAGATCGGAAGATACTAGGGTTGACTTGACCAGAGCCAAGAGTCCACCTAGTATAAATTCAGCCTTTAAGTGACTTTTATATTGAATAGTGAAAGCCGCTGACGGGTATGAAGTAATGACACCCATAGGTACATATTTGCATCTATCAGTTCCTCCTTCTTTGTTCAACTGCCAAGCAATTCTGCCATTCTGCCAGGCTATTCAAAGCATTGGTATTGCCACATACCATTTCCAGGAATCACTGAGTGCCAATCCTTTAATGGTATATACCCAACTCTGAAGGTCTATAAAATCTGCCACTGTATTTAATGAAATAATAATAAATGTTTATCCATGCTCAGTATCCATACTATTTATTCTAGGGTGCATCTTTAACAAGTCTATTGGAGGAAAGAATTCTGCCAATAGTAGGTAAGTAAATTCCATACCTACATACAGTAAATATCATGAATAGCAAATAGACTGACAGTAGCCCTTATTTACTAAGAGTGAGGGCAGACAGTTAAATGACCCAGGCAAGGGACCAATGGAATGGAATCGTTCCTTCCAAACTCTTACTTGCTAGGAACACCTCATTGTTCTGCCTAGCAAGAGTGCAACGCCATAAGAAAACTGGTCTATTAGTGATCTTGTCACTGGCAATAATTGTCCGTGTGACATACTCCTAGTCACATAGTTATTTAATTAAAAATGTTACATCTATCAATCATCACTGAAAATGATGAGGATGGACAGTGATTTCTGGATGCTCATATCTGGCACTGATATTTTGCTGAAAATGTATAGACATCAGGTGTTTAGCCCAGGAAAAATGTAATTTAGGCAGTAATATCAGTGTAATAGCATTATGTTCCTTTTGATAATACACTTTATAGTATAAATTTAGGGAGTAAATACTTTAAGGGTTAGGTGTCATTTAGCTAAGGTTAAGAGTTAGGTTTAGGTTAGGGTTAACTTTTAGGGTTGTGTTTCAAAGGTTAGGTTTATGGTTTCTGTTCCAGTTAACTGTTGTATGGAGTTTTTTCTGGGGGGGAGCTGATTTTTAAACTGTTTTTGTTTGCAAATTTGTAAACTGTTTTATATTTTATTTATGTAAATCTTTATTTGACAAATAAACATTTAATATGAGACGCACCTATGACATAGGTGGAACATTATGACATTTCTTATGAGAAAGCACTGCAGTTACTTTTCCCTTTGTGACTTTTGCTCTGTAACTGAGTCTCCATTTGACCCCTCTAAAAAGGAGTGGGGGGTTTAATAATCTGGCCCACTCAATTGTGTGTATAATCTGAGCTAATACTGGGCTATGCAGGGCTGCCCACCTTATACGCCGCCTGAGGCAGTAGAACGGGGGTGGGTCAGTGGCGGGTGCTGCTGATGGTGCCGGAGGGTGGAAAGGCTCCTGTGTGGCAGGTGCTGATGATGGTGCTGGGGGGAAGGGGGTGCTTTGCAGCGGATGCAGTGGGATGGGCAGCTGTGTTAGAACCGTACTGTCAATGGCTCTCTGTCCAGTCCCACCCTGCTCACTGATGTCACTGATTGCCAGTAGCTCGGCGGGACACCAGCCAGAGCATCCCACTCAGCGCTCTGGCAACCAATGATGTCAGTGAGTTGAGCGGGAAGCAAGACAGAGAGTCACAGGTTGCTAAGAGCTCTTAGTAACCTGGGGAGCTGTGGTCACCCCTCTGCTGCCCCCCCTTCCCGACCGCCTCGGGCTGACTCATGATTGGGACAGCCCTGGGGCTCTGTAAGCAACAGACTTTAAAGCTTGGTAAGCGTGGAGAGATCTATTGGTGACCCTATCTACTCGACAGAAGTGGATCATTAAATTGACTTTTGCCTAAGGAACATGTTGGAAAATCGTTGGTGGGTATTCAGACAGTGGCTGTCATGAATATAAAATATTTTTATGCCATAAATTCATTTTTATTAAACAAAAATGTTTTTTTTTTTAACAATTGTATATTAAGTTGTGAAAAAATATTTATTTAAAAAATATTATATAGATCAGGGCTCAAAATTTCAAGTCCTGAGCTACTAGCCAGGCCTTAAGAGTTACTCGCCACTAGTTGCCCTACCTAACCCCTACCCTGCCATGGCCTTAACTCCACCCCTAAACACACCCTCTTAAATTATCTTATGATAGTTGCCGCTTGTAAACGGAAGATTAGGGATTACTGCTGCAGGAAAACGCAGGTTCCTGACGCAGGAATCTCTAATCACACCTGAAATATAGGTGTAAATTGGGGCCTAATATACACATACACTAAAACACATTAATAGACTTCTCAACGTTACCCCCCTGCACAAATATAATGATAAAATTCCCCCCTGCACACAAAAAATAATACATCCCCCGTTATAAGCCCCCCCACACATAAAATATTACACCCCCCCATCCCAACTACCCCCCGCACACATAAAATAATACACTCCCCCCGTTATAAGCCCCCCACACACATAAAATAACACA